ACCTTTGTCGGTGCATATTGCACTAGCTCCTTAGCTTTCCAGCTTCGACAGTAAAACGTATTCCGGGGACTTGATAACGATGGCCAGAATTTGTAAATAAGAAAAAAATTAAAGTAAAATTAAATCTCGAGACTCAAAGAGAATTAAATCTCTAGTCTCGCATTTACTAAATATTTAAACCCCATGGTGTTCTACCTCCGCCGAAAATTAGCAGGGCCAAGGAAACGCTTTCATGTACATCCACTGCCCCACCAGCACCAACCGTCCAATGGCAGCTACTCCTTAGTTGCCGACTTCTCCTCCCCGTTTTCTTTCTCAGATAAGGCGCACCAGAAACACAAGGCACACTTCCCTTTGCGGTCTCTAACTCCACCTGTACTACGGACTCTCCGAGCCTGATATTTTTTATAGAAGTGGGGGCAAACGAGCGTACGGCTCACCTGACGGTAAGCGACTACCGCCGCCCGTGAACAATTGCAACACCAGTAGAATTGCAGATGCATTGCCGGCGCTTAAAAAAGGAATAGCTCTTTTATATCTTTTCTTTCGATATGTGAGTAAAGGCAGGAAAAAACGAGCACTTCAAAGCATCAAGTGGTGCAGCTCCACCAAAATCGCGAAGGATAGTATGACGCATCACGAATCGCCATACCAACACTCCTCTTTCGTTACGACTCCACTTTGACTACAGCGGTACAGGGAGAGGAATCTCCTCTAGCCGCAGCCCACTAACACACATCCAACGTGGCTCGACATCGTCAGGCGGGCGACTTTTCTACACTTTGCTATGACCCTTGAGTTTGGGGGAAAATGAGAAGAAAATAAATAAAAAACAAACATTGGAAATAATAATCTAATACTTTTATACTTACTCGTACTGGCACTACCAGAAAATATTGTCGGTAAACTGCACTTTTTCAAATTGGTGCGGTTCTCATGTTTATTAAAACAAGTCATCTGTGAAATGTTTAGAACAAAGATGATAATTTTGTTTCGGACGCCAATTCACAATAATTTTATGCTTTTGAGCCGTAATTTTAGTCTAGGTTCAGTTAGAAACCTTAATAAACATTTGATAATTAATTGTTGTTGACGACTTTGTTTGTTGACAGATATGGGTAGGAAAGAACATCGATAATTATGTTGGCAAGGAACTCGACAATTCTATTGAATTTTATTGTTTATCTAACTAAGCAATATACAGCCAAAAATGTTGGTAATTATGATATTAAGATTAGTAACAAATTTTTAAGTACCTATATTGTCAAAGAGTTTTAATTTGTTTAATATTAGCTGCAAATTCACTTACTTGTTATACCACTTTCCTTTTGGTAACGAGTTTTACAAATTACGAACACTCATTATTATTAAAAATATTTCTTATCATACTACCTATTGTCAATCTTTTTACGCATGCAGCTTATGGACAGCGTATACAAAGCGCGCTTACAGTGACCTTCGTGTTTTATATAATAACATTTTCAGGGCCATGTTGGGGCTACCTCGCTTTTGTAGCGCATCAGGGATGTTTGCAGAAACACGAACAGATGACTTCTTCGCAATAATGCGTAAAAGAGTGCTCGCTGTTGAGCAGAATACGTGGCAGCCGCAACAGTATAATGAACGTGTTCGCCGAAAGATGTGACGGGCATTTGGTAGATTATTGGAACGATTTGTTGAAAAGTGACTACTAATATTTAAGAAACTAACATTAGTGTTTAAGGTGCACAATTACTAACAACTTATATGGATCTATGTCTGAAATAAAAGAGTTATTATTATTGTGGGGTATCTATATAGTTTTCTTATCTGGTTGGGTTCTATAAATATATAATTATAAATGAAAATGAAAAGATAAATATACATAAATATCAATAACATAAAATAAATATAAAAATACATAAATAAATAAAACCCCGACCAGATGGAGACCCTCGGCAGGGGAGACCAAACGGCCGAGGGTTAGGGGGAAAGGGAAAGAAACCGGCGGACGATGCGGGCGGTATCGAGGAGCACCGCCTTCTGCATTTGAGCCCGGAGCAGTTCGCCACGTAGTCCCAGTCGCCCGTTTGCAGAGACGACTACAGGAATAATTTCGGTCGGCAGACCACCCCTCATGTCGGTCACCTCGTGAGCCAGGTCCAGATATTTTGTTTGCTTGTCTGTTTCGGCTTTCACGAGGTTCTCGTCATACGGAATGGTAATGTCGGCCAAAAATATCCTTGACTGTGCCCGGTCCATCAGCACAATATCAGGCTTATTCGCAAGAATAGTCCTGTCTGTGATGATGGTCCGGTCCCAATAGAGCCTGGCGCGATCATTTTCGAGCACGGCTTCCGGCAAGTACTTGTAATACGGCAATTTCCGATCCACGAGACCGTATTTCAGAGCGAGCTCCTGGTGAAGAATTCTGGCTACTAGGTTGTGCCTGTGCAAGTACTCAGAGTTAGAAAGCGCCGAACAACCGGAGATGACATGCCTAAGTGACTCACCGGGATGGCGACAAGCTTGACAGATGTCCACGGTGCCATCCTTTAGGATGTATCTCCGATAGTTGTTGGTCTTAATAACCTGATCCTGTATTGCACAGATAAAACCCTCGGTTTCCCCGAAGAGATCACCAAAGCGTAGCCAGTAGAGGGAGGTTAAAGTGTCTACGAAAGGCTCATGTAGAGCCTTGTAGAACCTTCCGTGGAGCTCCTTCTCCTTCCATACGGTCTCCCGGTCGGAAATGCTAAGCACTGCTGGGTCCTGCCATTGCTCGTTGGCTAAGGATAGAGGGGTAAGCCCTTTATCACTAGAAATGACGTCATTATAGAATGGATCATTCGATCTCGCCAGGAAGTAATCACGGAGGCTGCACACTTCGCGATTATGCATGGTGAGCGTGCTCAGAAAACCACGTCCACCATGCTTTCGCGGCAAGTACAGCCTCATTACCGACGATCTCGGATGATGCATCCTATGGGACGTCATTGTAGTGCGGACTTTTTTATCCAGGGCGTTAAGTTCAGTCTGGGTCGACCTGAGTATGCCAAAGGTATACATGAGGACATGCATGACCCAACCGTTATATGCGTGAGTCTTATTCACACCGGACAAAAGGCTGTTAAGCACTTTGGTCAAGCGTGCATAAAACACGTCGCAAACTGACTGTTTCATACCAGTCTCATCGATACCGATGTTCTGTGACATACCCAGGTATCGGTATGTTTCAGCCTCGGAAAGGGTCCTTAAGTTGACGGGCATAGATAAGTCTATGCCCTCAGAGTTAGCAACCCTTCCCCTTTCAACATGGAGGACCGCACACTTATCCGTTCCCAGCTCCATTCCAATAGAACTGCTAAATTCACAAGTGATGTTTAGCAATTCCATAAGATGGGAGCGACTGGAGGCGAATAACTTGAGGTCATCCATATAGAAAAGGTGGAAATTCCCTCCCGGAGCCCTCCAGTAAAGTACTGAGAGGGTTCAGCGAGAGGCAAAACCAGATTGGACTCAGACAATCGCCCTGGAAGATACCCCTTCTTATCCTTATGTGGTTCTCCGCAGCCATCATCCGCTCGCCCAGATAGCAAAGGATCGTACTCCATTGCCCCATACACTGCTCGAGGAAGTCTCCAACTGTACAGTCAATTTTGTACAGGTGGAGGACTCTCTTTAGCCATGTATGGGGCACCGAGTCGAATGCCTTTCTGTAGTCTATCCAGGCGGCGGAGAAATTCCGACGGTTGCGTTTCACCACTTTGCCAATGACCGCGTCAATGAGGAGTGGTTCCTTGGTTCCACGACCACCGCCCCGGCATCCATTTTGAGCGCGTGACATCACCTGATTTAGCTCCAGGTGACGAGTGATTCTCGCGCTCAAAACGGATGTCAGTGTCTTATATATGGTGGGTAGACACGTGATGGGGCGGTATTTGCTCGGGTCTGTGGTATCCTGATCTTTAGGAACCAAATGAGTGATCCCAGTAGTGAAGAGGCTCGGGAGCGACTTCTGATCGAGAGCCTCTTGAAACTGTCGGGCGAGCACAGCGTGACACACTACGAACCCCTTCAGCCAGTAATGATGCAGCCCGTCGAGCCCCGGACTTTTCCAGTTCGGGGCCATACGGACCGCCTCAGCCACGTCTTCAGGCGTTATGGTGACGGGGTCCATAGGCGTAACACTTGCACTCTGGCTCGCCACAACTTCCATCCAAGGGCCCTCGCTGTGGTTTACGGGCTCTGACCACAGGCCACGCCAAAATGCGACAGTGTCGGGCTGATCCGGTCCTGGGCCCGCTCCACATACCTCTGGTCGCTCCAATGATTTATAGAGCCTCTTCTGATCACTCTGGAAGAGACGATTCTGGTTGAACCGCCTTGACCCCTCGCTAAATCGTCGAATCCGCTTCCCCCAAGCAGCGATTTTTTGCTTCAGGTCATCTATGCGCTCCGTTAGTTTTGCGTGATATCCGGTTGGAACAAACTGATATTTGTCACAGCAAACGCCATCCTAACGGTGCGCATAATCCTCGGTCTATTATTACCCGACCTGAAGCTTGTCAGTCTGCCGATAAGGGCCCTTGCCTTTGCAATACGGTCCTCAATTCTTTTTCTTCAGACTGGGATGGCGCTACTTTTTTGAGTAGCACGTCCAGCCACGGGAAGTTTGGCGCCAATAATACGGCATACTGCCAGTGCGGCGCCAATAATACGGCATACTGCCAGTGCGGCGCCAAAAAGAATTGAATCCGTCTCGCAAAGGTCCCAGCTGGCTTCCAAATAGGTCACCAGCATTGGGTTAAGAGCCCGCACGACAGCCCGATTTCACCTGCTAAGGGGTATGCGGGGAAGTCGCGGTCGTATTTGGAGAGGCATGCTGCGCGTTTCCAGCATCGACTCTTCCAATATGCTCCTCATTTTCTCTAGTTCGTGGAAGACTATTCCATCATCGTCTGAATTAGCCACAAATGGAATGTTGACGGCAGCATCCACATATGCAGTTTGTTGCGCATCTAGTGGCGCCGCATTCCCAGCCGTAGCATTTCCATTCGATGAAGGAATAGCCTCACGTCGTAGTCGCTCGAGTTCGGCGTCACCAAATATGTTGGAGCGCAGGACCTAACTCGGTACTCGGTGTACCTAACTCGGTCTGCCAGGTTTTGCTCAGTGACAGATAGAGATGGCTCCAGCTCTGCAAAAAAGCGATGCATCCGAGCCCGATACGCCAAACATCCAGTTTCTTCCCCTTTTGCCCTAAAATACGCCCGCAGTGCGTTTTCATTCATCGATTTAGACCAACGCATGCGACGTGCTCCACCAGCGGCGGGTGCCGCTTGCTGAGTCCGAGAAGACCCAGCCGACACCAAGCCTTCTGGTGGGGATGATGGATGCGGGGGGCTGCTAGGAGGTCTTGCAACACCCCGCGCTCGGCTGGCGGCCCGCATGCTGTCGCGTCCAGCGCCAGCTCCCGACGCGCCCTGGCGACCTCCAGGCAGCGGCCCTTTGCGCACTATCTTTTTTTCCATCATCCATAATATGGGCGTCCATTAACGGGATCGCCCAGGCCCGGCACCGTATCGTGTACGGCCATAAGCACAAACGGGCCTTTGCACCCTGAATTCTGCCGAGGCACGGCGCTCACACCTCTCACAAGGCGCTGACTGACTGCGTTGACGTAGCAGTTTTGTCACTTAACTGTTACGTCAGCGGGCGATGGGGTCGTCAATTCCCTACGCCATTACTATTACGCATTATTATTATTATTATTATATTATATTATTATTATTATCATGTAACTAAAATTATACACAATCAAACAACATAAAATACTTTCGTTTTTTTGATTAAAAGTTCAAAATACAGATTTTTTTAAATAAGAACAGACTTTGGCATATTATATCAATATTAGTTCTCAAGACATCCAATAGTTGTGGTTCAAATTGGCACAGACATTTTGTATGGTATATAGCCAGTCTAGCGTACTTGTATATTTAGAGGTCAGTGGACCGCACCCACCAACAGCACTTTAAATCATTTACATTATATTAAAAAAAGATTTTATTGTATTTTGATAACAAAAAAAAAACATACCAAGTGGATGTTGACAGCGCGAAAATCACAATTATTTCTATATATATTACTCGAAATTATTTACGTAAAAAGATAAATTATATTCACACAAAAACTTTCATTACAATTTTATAATAAAACACTATACTAAAACCCTAATAAAACACTAGAAAAATCCAAAAACCATCACAATAATATTCACGCGAAAATGGCGTACAAAATGAACGTAGATTATAAATAAATATGCGTAAACTAACTGAAAATTTCATATTGATTCTATAATGCCAAACTTTTCATTGAAAAGTGGTCTCTAAACATAAGTATTGATGGGTTAAAGTGCTGCGGGTGGATGCGGTCACAATTGACCTCTTGAATTTTGACGGAATATCGAAGCGGTCAAATTTGGACGCTTGCCGTTTGAGAGGTTAACCGACTGCCCCAGAATGAGGGCAATGATTTTAGAGTGTATGTATGTACGTACATGCATGTATGTATGTATATATGTGTGCATGTATGTATATATGTCTATTTCTTTGGCACGCTCTGTGGCCTAAATGGCGGCTTGACGGATTTTAACATATGGGGTGCGGCTACTCACTTTCATGCCGCAAGGGAAATCTAGAGTGTTCAGCGATTGGGGCAATTTCAGAACTGTCTCTACAGACATGCCTGCCGTTCAGTATGAGAGTGTGCGTCTCGCTGGACACACGCATTGGGAATGACGCCAGTTTATAGAAATATCAATAAATAGATATATTGGCTCTTTTTATATAGAATAAGGGTGACAAATGAGCACACAGTCTACCTGATGGTAAGTGGATACTGTGGCCCATAGACCCCACGTTTACCGATAAAACAACTAATTATTTAATAATTAAAACCATATATAGTACCGTGGTCGTGGAAGGGTGATCTCCAGCCGGGCAATGTGTTTCGCTTGTGGCGCGATAGTACTTATAAGCGGCATGATGACTCTACCACGTTTAAAAACGTTACCACGTTCAAATAACGTTTATTCTGCGGTGCTACCGCAAATAAAGAAAAGAAGGTATCACTCGTGTCCCAAATTCATACTATTGGTATCAATTGTGACTCGTCGCCAAAGAACTGATTGAAATTGCCGCAATTGCTCTACATACGCGGCAGTGGCAGCTATGATCTAGGGAGCAAGGAAGGTATTGCGCCCTTGCCGCCCTGCCGCAGAGTCAACTTAGGATATCGCCCCTGCTTGCATCACACATCACAATCAAGGGTAATCCCCACCCCGACACACCAGACTGTCACTGCGGCTGGTAAGTTAGTAACCGCCTTTAGCTGTAGAACTGACATAGGATATAATTTTTTTCTCCTCTAATTAAACTTATTTTACACAGTCAAGTGTTTTAAATTACTGTTTTCACGATAGTGCATATTTTATATTTAGAACTAGCATTTACCCGTAGTAGTGACAATCTATAAAAAAGCGCGTAAAAGAACATATAGCTGACTTGAAGCACCGACGCTCCGGGAAGTCTGCAGTCTGTGAATATGTTTAAGATTGTCACCGTCATTATATCAGATTTGATAGACCTGATAAATCCTCGAAAAGAAACACCTATTTCCACCAAGGACGATCAGCGTAGATATTGAAATAAAATAAAACATCATAATTTTAATAGAGATGGATAATCCAAATCCAAGTAAGTATGTTATTGCAGGACTTCAAGATACTGTAGGCTCGTTCTACGTAGATCGGAACAAAAATTTATATTGAAAATCTGATGATCTGATCTGATGAATGACATCGGGCGATCGGTACCTCAAATAACTCAGTACTCTCGAGACCAAAAGTTAAAATAAACGCGATAAAATCCGTAAAATTTGTTTCATTTATTGAGAAGTATTCAAGTAATTATAAGGAAGAATTAAGTAAAACTCTCTAAGGTACCTCCATTCATTAGCCCGTTATCTGTATAATATGGACAAATATTTTTATATGGAAAATTTGTCAAATAGATAGATATATCGCAATACAAGCCATTTTTAGTCTGAGCTATACATAACGGTATTTTGATCCTCAAAATATAATGGATAAAGTGGTTGTTAATAGATATAGGTAAAACAACGTTTCTATTTTAAATTATTGTAGGTATCAATAGCAAGGTTTTGAGGCACGTGTTAAATTCTATAAAAAATGTCTCCCAAAAATAAGTCAAAATCGCTATACAAGACGTATCTCTAAAATACAAAGGAAAATAAGTTACCTTAAATTTATAGTTTGTCCTGTATCTGTCAGTTTTCTGAATTAATTTTCATGATCGGCCATCATCATTTATTTATCCTTGTCTTTAAACTATTTTTCTTCTATATTTTCTTATTATTATGGTGCTCAATATAAAAAATGTAGGTATTAGTTTTCACGTCGTAACAGTAGTTTCATACAGGTTAACATTCCATCGTTGAACAGGAGCCGCTGTGTAGGAGGATTTCCCCAGTACCAGACGCCACACACCTTTGAAGCTGCTTCCTTAACGGGTTGGATAATATACATCAGGCATATACGAGATAGCATAAGTACCATCATCTATCGGATACCATATGATGTTACTATTTTTCCGCAATCGCTTTAAACGATTCATGCGATCATCCAATGACGGATTCAATTACGTCGCCCCTACGCGGCACAGAAAATGAAAAGATATAAAGGTACCACCTACACTTATAACTATACATATACGATAATAGAATAGTTGTTTATAAATGTGATAGTTATGTAAGTGGTGAAAATAAAGTATTATTATTGGGGTATCTATATAGTTTTCTCATCTGGTTGGGTTCTATAAATATATAATTATAAATTAAAATAAAAAGATAACAATACATAAATATAATTAAAATAAAATAAATACAATAATACATAAATAAATAAAAGCCCAACCAGATGGAAGCCCTCGGCAGGGGAGACCAAACAACCGAGGGTTAGGAGGAAAGGGAAAGAAACCGGCGGACGGTGCGGGCGGTATCGAGGAGCACCGCCTTCTGCATTTGAGCCCGGAGCGGTCCGTCATGGCGTCCCAGTCGCCTCAGATGACCCGAGAGGCTGACTGGGATTAGCCCATTCGCAGAGACGACTACAGGAATAATTTCGGCCGGCATGTGGTATGCGGCCCACATGTCGGTCACCTCGTGAGTCAGGTCCAGATATTTTGTTCGTTTATCTGTTTCGGCTTTCACGAGGTTCTCGTCATATGGAATGGTAATGTCGACCAAAAATATCCTTGACTGTGCCCGGTCCATCAGCACAATATCAGGCTTATTCGCAAGAATAGTTCTGTCCGTGATGATGGCCCGGTCCCAGTAGAGCCTGGCGCGGTAATTTTCGAGCACGGCTTCGGGCAAGTACTTGTAATACGGCAATTTCCGGAGGTCACCGAAACGTAGCCAGTTGAGGGAGGCGGCTGTATCTACGTGGGGCTCATGTAGAGCCCTGTAGTACCTCCCGTGGAGCTCCTTCTACTTCCATACGGTCTCCCGGTCGGAAATGCTCTGTACTGCTGGGTCCTGCCATTGCTCGTTGGCTAAGGATAGAGGGGTAAGTCCTTTATCACTAGAAATGACGTCATTATAGAATGGATCATCCGATCTCGCCAGGAAGTAATCACGGAGGCTGCACACCATGCTTTCGTGGCAAGTACAGCCTCATTACCGACGGTCTCGGATGATGCATCCTATGGGACGTCATTGTAGTGCGGACTTTTCTATCCAGGGCGTTTAGTTCAGTCTGACTCCACCTAAGTATGCCAAAGGTATACATGAGGACAGGCATGACCCAGCCGTTATATGAGTGTGTCTTATTCACACCGGACAAAAGGCTGTTAAGCACTTTGGTCAAGCGTGCATAAAACACGTCGCAAACTGACTGTTTCATACCAGCCTCATCGATGCCGATGTTCTGTGACATACCCAGGTATCGGTATGTTTTAGTCTCGGAAAGGGTCCTTAAGTTGACCGGCATAGATAAGTTTATGCCCTCAGATTTAGCAACCCTTCCCCTCTTCAACATGGAAGACCGCACACTTATCCGTCACCAGCTCCATTCTAATAGAATTGCTAAATTCACAAGTGATGTTTAGCAATTCCATAAGATGGGAGCGACTGGAGGCGAATAATTTGAGGTCATTCATATAGAAAAGGTGGGTCACTTTTGTACTTCCTTTTCGAAGCAGAAATCCCCTCCCGGAGCCCTCCAGTAAAGTACTGAGAGGGTTCAAAGAGAGGCAGAACCAGATTGGACTCAGACAGTCGCCCTGGAATATACCCCTTGTTATCCTTATGTGGCTTTCCGCAGCCGTCATCCGCTCGCCTAGATGACAGAGGATCGTACTACAATGCCCTATACACTGCTCGAGGAAGTCTCGAACTGTACAGTCAATCTTGTACAGCTCGAGGACCCTGTTTAGCCATGTATGGGGCACTG